GCGCTCATATGTTCACCTTTGTTCACATGAAGAATATTACTCAGTTATATCATCCATGTGTTGATTTCTTGGGGTGGCGTCCAGTGAGCTCTAAGCACACAAGTTAATTGCTTCCTGTATTTAAACAAAGATGACATTTACAAGGAGCACACTGACATGGAACAAGGCAGAGGTTAATATAAAACCCAAAAATGTGGGTGGAGATAAAGATGGCAGATGGACTGACACAGTTATGACATGACATGAAACCAGCCAGTGAGGCAACAAGAAAACAAAACAGACGAGTACGTATTTCACTGCATATAAAGACAAGACCATATACTGAAGCTTTGGAATGCTGAAAGTGTACATTTGTAAGCCACATTTAGTTTTCCATAAATTTAATGCCAAACATAATGCCCACCATCATGCTAGAGTAACACTGACGTGCACAGTTTGGTTCGGATTGATGGAATTTTGAACTTGAATGTTGCTGCCCTAAAATAAGTTGTGGGAAAAAAATAGAAAAACAGATGAGTTTCAGCAGAGTTTCCAGTCAACCATCAACCTCTGTGACCTCGCTTAGACTGGTGTGACTACAGCCAGGCAAGACTTGTAGTCAGTCAGGTGATTAGCTGACTGGAAACTGCTACTGAAATGTGGTTTTGGTATTTAGAGTAGTGGTGAGCCTGCTCGCTCAGTTGTTAGGCATGTTTGAGCATTTTGGAGTTTGCAGTCAACCCTAAGCTTTGTGATGTCTGTTTAGATTTTTTCCCTTACAGTTCCTTCATCTTTTCTAAAATGTTCCGTCTTCATGGAAGAGTGCTTGAAGAAAACAAACAAAAATGACTTTGTTTGAGATTCTTTTGTATATTTGAATACAAATGAAAAGGCCACATTGGTAGGATAAAGTACCTGATGTATGTCCTGGGTTTGGTAAAATGACAGTGTGGTTATGAATGTACTCTGTGGTATATGACCACTGGTTTTTACTCTGCCAAACAAAGGACAGTGAGACGACTCTGGAGTGCTGGGAATATATGTACTGGGAAAATCTGAAGTGTTTCTGTAATTGTAGTATGAAGTGCTGAAATGTGGAGGGTGGTAGTGTACATATACTAATTTACTAGTTATGTAGAGGTACTTTAAGTAGTACAAGGTAATTATAGGCAGAAAACCCCATTCAATAACAAGGGATTATCTGGAATCAGTTTTTGGAAAGGACAATACAGCATTTTACTGGTTGTACTGGATTGTTGGAGGCACTTTAACTGGTACAGCTGATTGGATGGTTTATTATCTTTAAAATATAACTCACAAGAGATAAATAAAGGTAATATGAGGCACAAAAGCCCTTTCAATATAAAGATATTAGCTTTAATCACTTTTTGGCAAGGACAATACTGAATTGTACTGGTTATACTAGCAATGTAGAGGTATGTTAACTGGTACAAAAGAAATGGATTATTTATAATCTTTAAAATATTACCTACAAAAGTCAGATAATCTTTCTTTTAGGACACCCTAGATAAATGGCATAAACTGTAGGCCTGTTCCACTTCATAAAGGGTGCAGATGAGGCAGGAATAAACAGCAGAAAAGCTGAAACGCCCTTGAGATGTCACACATGCACAAATGTAATCCAGACACAGGAGCAGGTTTTACTGGTGTCTCACAACCACAAACTGCAAAAATACTCCAGCTATGAAATCAGCAAATGTGCTTCCAAGTTTACTCCAAGCACTATTAGAATGTATCCCTCTGCCCACAGCTCGGCAAGGAACTATAAATAAAATTTGTCTTACAGTAAGTAACCTGTAATGTTGAAAGATAGACTCAAATTGGCTTAATGGGACCCACTCAGACAAACTTGGGAGTGTATTTTTTGTATTTTTGAAGGCCCGCACACAGTAGGCTATTAATCCTGAGTCATATACAGGTATGTGCCAAAAAATTAGAATATCAAGGAAAAGTCCATTTATTTCAATAATTTGTTTCAAAAAGTGAAACTTGTATGTTATATTAGTTCACTGCACACAAAGTGAAATATTTCAAGCCTTTATTTGTTTCAATTTTGATGATTATGGATTAAAGACAAAAAAAACCC